TAAGAAGGATTTTATAGCCGAGTAAGGTATTGATTTGGGGGAAGGTTCTCTTTAAAACTAGTTCATAACACAGTCAGAAATAAAAGGGAAACTCATTTGTTCAGCTATCTAAATGAATAAAATGTTGTCCCTTTTAAGGGCTCTCTTCAAGGGGGGAGGAGAGCAGGAGGTCCATAGAAAGGACAGGAAGACTTCAGAAGCAATTTTTGTACTAAAGTAATTCACATTAAAATGTCGTAGGGGGTTAGTCTGTAACTTTATAAACAGTGAGCGGTCCTGTGGCACCTTAGAGTCTAACGTCCATATGGGTTTTGCTCATGACACTGTCTGTATTTTTGTTAGTCTCTAAGTACTTGTTGTTTTATCTAAAATACACATTGTAATTTTTAAGAGGGGTCTTTTGAAGAAGTTCTCTATAGCTGAAGATCCAAGCATGTAAGGCTAGAGCTGGATACTCAGATTGTGCCTCTAAAAATTCTTGTGTAGATATTTAGAGATGGGATTTGAAAATCTTCCGCAACCAACTAACACTCTCTGAAGGGATTCTTGAGCGGAGGTCCTAAGATATAGTCATGCCCAGCTGGGTGAATTCAGGGCTGGCACCTGCCTGTGGAATGGCTTCATTCGTGGCTCTGGCCCAGGTTCACTGTTATGCTAATGGTCTGGCAAGCTGGAAGGCTTTTCACTTGTCAGTTAACAGATCCTCTTGGGGGAGGGGGGAGTCCTGAGTCTGCAGCAGCCGGCTGTGGAGCCTGCCGCAATGGCCAGAATAGAGATAGGAAGAGGGGCGAGAGGGAGCACTAAGACCTAGGGGGGCATTGCCTTCCTTTGCCTCTTACACTGCCAGCCTGGCTGGTTTCTCCAGCCCCAGCTGCGCCCGGTTTGGCTGGTGGCTTGGCTGTCCCTGTCCCAGCTGTGAAACTTTGTGGGACCGGCACAGGGACTGATGCAGAACTTCCTGGCACTTGTGTGTTGCCCTGCAGCGTTGGCCGTAGGCTGTTACCCCAGTAGCAGGCTGTGTGTTGGGGGCAGGGGCAAGCCCCTCCTCCTTCGGGTAGCCAGCGAGCTGCGGGGTGCGGCGCACCAGGCCTTTGGGAGCAGGCACCAGGGAGATCTTCTGAGGGGAGCTAAGGAGCTGGGTCCCCTCCAAGGCTGACGGGGTGTGTGGGGGGGGCGGGGCCACGCCCCTCCTCCTTCGGGTAGCCAGCGAGCTGCGGGGTGCGGCGCACCAGGCCTTTGGGAGCAGGCACCAGGGAGATCTTCTGAGGGGAGCTAAGGAGCTGGGTCCCCTCCAAGGCTGACTGCCGGGTTCTCCCGCTGCCTTGCCCTGCACCCTCTTGTGACCGAGACCTGAGCCCTCCCCCTGAGCAGTCTGCCCTAGGCCCCGTCAAATCTACGCCAGCCTGGCAGCCCATTCCATGGGGTCACCGCCTCTGGGCTAGGGGTGAGGCCACAGAAATGCCACCGCTTCCCATGGTGCATTGCTCATCCGGCCGGCATGGCACTCGTGCGGCCATAGCATGACGTGTGTTTCCGCCGTGCCTCTGGGGCTGGTGGGGGGGAGAGTGCACACGGCACTTCCCCACGCCCGGGGCCTGCCAGACCTGCCTGCCGGCCACTGTCAGTCCCAGCTGCGACGGGGGAGGGAGGGCAGACTATGGAGGCCCCCTTCCCCAGGAGCAGAATGGGGAGAGAGAAGCTGTCCGTTCGCACAGAGGAGCAGGGAGAGCCCTGTGCCCCTGGCAGGTGGGGGAGCTGGGAGCCATTGGACCCAACTGGAAACCCGCACCCTTCATTCCGCCCCTGTGAACTTTGCTGCATCCCCCCTCCCCTGTCCTGAGGCAGGTGCAGCCCTGCGGGGGGTGGGGCGCTCGTGACCTGACGTGTCACAGCCGGCGGGTGAAACTGGGACGTGGAACTGCAAGAGGGTGCCTGGGGCAGCCTCGGCGGCGGGCTCTGTCACCCCAGCGGCCGCCCCTGCGCCCTTCACGGCCGATGCTGCACGGGCGGGCCCAGCGTGGGATGCTACCTGACGGGATGGGTGCGTGGGAGCCGTCCAGGTTCCTTCCCCAGCTGAGGGATAGCACCTCCTGGCTCACCCTGGTGCCGGCAGGCCCAGCGGAGACAGGCAGGAGTGGCCGTTCCCCCTGCCAAGCATTTGTAACCGACCCGTCCCGGGGGCCGTGCCTGCCAAACCAACGAGAGGGCCGTGGCACCTTGGAGACGAACAATTCATTTGGGCACCAGGTGCCGTGGGCCAGAGCCAGTGCACATGCGTCCGCCCGCGTGGCTTTGAGCCGCGGAAGCCGGTGCCCCCAGGGCACGTGAGTAAGAACCGAGTGCCCGGCGGGGACAGACTGAGGGGCATCCGGATGAAGCGGCTCTGCGTTTCCTGGGGGAATGGCAGGGCAGCCCCGGGCCGGGGAGGCGGCCGGCTCCCGCCACGGAGCTCCAGGGACCCTGGCATGTTTGCCTGGACTCAGGGAGCATCCGCATTCCAGGCCCTTCCCAGGTTACTCACCCGGCTTCTGGGGGAGGGGACGAGGGAGCAATGATCCGGGAGCCGGGCTGCCATGAGCCTGCGCTTAGGCAGCACCTGGGACTCCCTGCGGGGGGTGGGGGGGAGGCTGCATTCAGCGGGGAGCAGCACAGCTGGGGGGGCTGAGAGCCTCTGGACTGAAGTGCAAGCCCTGGGTGAACGCAAACCACTTGAAGCCAGGGGGGCTACAGCCTCCCCCTCCTCCCCTGCTCAGTTCCAGCCCCTGTGACTCAGCTTCCCCCCTCCTCCCCCCAGCTGGGGCTCCATTGATAAGTGCAGGCAAGGAGGCTGGAGCAGAAGCTGCCTCTTCCCCCTAAAAGAGTTGCTGATGCCCCAGGGAGGGCAGGCACGGAGTGGAGGGAGGGTGCAGCAAAGGCCTCCGGAGGATCCTGGGCCGAGCTCCGGGCTCCCCTTCCAGCCTGTGCCGGCAGCTACCGGCCCAGCCGTGCCCACCCTCACCTGATTGTGCCCATATGGGGCTGAGGGCCAGCCCGCCCTGAATCTCCCACGTAAAGGGGAGCGGTTTGAAGCCAGGCCCGGAGGAGGCAGGGCCCAGGGTCCAGCTGGCACGGCTCAGGCAAACGTCCCTGGCTTGTTTGCTTTGGCAAAGGCGCTGCCGTCCCCAGGGCGCCTGGGACAACGAAACTGGAGCACGGGCGCCCTCTGCCCGCAGCAGCTTTCCTGGCCGAGCCTGGCTCCTCTCCTGGTACAAGTCCATCCTGTGCCCGTGGACAGAACCGGGGGCACCCCTCTGCCCAGTACCCCGGGCCTGGTCCATCTCACAGTCACTGCTGCTGCAGAACCTCCAGCTGATCCCCCTCCCCTCCCCTGCAGCCAGGGCTTGCTAAGGACCCCCTCCCCCACCCCCCCCCCCTGCC